TAATTAAATTGTATAGGTATCCTCATGTCACACTAAAACTGTGGCCTAATGTTTTCCTTTTTTGTAAACTGATTTTCTTTTTTGTTAGTAGCCAAGAGAAAAATTGCTTAAGACTTCTTGAGCTCGGAGAACTAATTTCAAAATGCTTAAACTGGAAACTTCTCTCTTTCTTTTAATGAATGAGAGAAGTCTTCCTTATTTTCCTGAAGGAGAGTTGGGGGAGACAAGTCAGTGAGAACAGCATTTGTGCTCTAGAAACAGGCCTTCACAAAGACCTTGAAGGTAATGGTGGAACTGGGAATAGAGTTCAGAAGTTCTGTTGTCTTTGTTTTGGGGTTCATTTGATGCTTTTAAAAAGGGACGAAGTATATAACCTACCCTGAAAAGGGAGCCAGACTCTGGAAAAAAGCAGGGTGTTTGACCTAGAGATGTGACTTAGCATGAAATTAAGAGTGTAGTGCTTAATGGCCTAGGAGCTATGATGTGTTTGAAACATTTTATGTTCCTAATCCTTCTAATTAGGAGTTTCTCAACTTTTTTGCCATGTGGTACTCAAAGAGATTATGAACGGTAGAATGTGACTAACTTAATATTGTGATCTTAGATTTCAGTTGTCAGACTAGACAGAAAATAGGCCTCTTCTGTTTTAGGTAAAATAAAACATAAAGTCGATGATGAAGATGTAGAAAAGCAAAGCTGTGGAATTAGGAAATAAATAGTAAGTCTTTGTGTTACATTTGATATACCAAATAAATATTGGATACAGATTTGTATAAGGTTCAAGAGTATGTAAGTTTCACATTGCAGGACTTGATATAAGTAGGTCCTGGCCTGTCAAGATAATTGTCCTGTCAAGATGTCACATACTATGATAAATGATCTTTTGAAATACAGGAGGCAAAAGAAAATAATGCATTAAAACCATCCTTTCCTTTTCCTTCCTGTATCTTAAGTGCTTTTTGTCCTCTTGTGCTGTTCTTTTAAGTGGGTAAGTAAGCATCGGGGCTAAGATATGCTTAGAGAGTTGTTCCTGATTCAGACTATTAATGGTAAAAAATGTTTCTGCTTGTAGTTGTTTGTAGATGAAACAGGCAGTGAAACATCTGAAACAGTTCATTAAAGTATACCTGCTACTGAGTATCTCCACTAAAATTGTATACAGTATAAACTTTCAGATCCTAGGGGGAAAACAGTTTAGTTTGGTAGAAATAACTGGGTTCCTGTTTCCAGTGATTCTGAGTAAGTAACTTAGGGTTTTTGTTATGCTTTTATTTTACAGATGGGATAATAGAAATGACTGACTGAATTTTTGGGGGCAAGATTTTGTTGATCATGCAGGCTATATACATTGAAAATATTTTTGAGAGAAGTTGAGTGTGAACACCTGATGTATTAATATGTAAGCAGAGGAGAGATTTCCATAGTGCTGAACATATAATGAGCACTTAATTCATTATTATTCGTGACTTGCCCTCTGTTTCCCACCTCCCCATTCTAACACATACCTTTTATATTTAAAATTTAGAACTCTATGTCTGAATATATCGGGATGATACTAAGGCCAAGGCCTGAGTATGGGGAGAAATGTGAAGATCCAGAAGGACTGTTTGGTTCCTGTTTGACTTTCACAAAGTCTCCTTAATTCATAGAAGATTCCCCTAAATTGAAAGTGAGATTATATCTGAAAAAAAAAAATTAGGAAAAATTAAAACGTGAAATTAGCCATCTTTAGAAGTGACCCGAGAGATAAACACTTAAAATCCAATATGATTGTAATCTCAATGTGTGGCATGACTAAATTGTGATTATGACTAAGAAAAGACAGGTTGCTATATTTAACTGCAGACATTTTAATTTTTACAGCCATACAGCAGTGAACCAAGCATTTCCATTTTACAGATTAGGAAATTAAAGCTAATGTGACTTCTCCAAGACCTTATGTCTAAACTATATTTTGTTCAAAATACAGTGGTGGTGTGACTCTGATAAGCTGAGAGATAATAATTGCCAACCTAGATTTCTATACACAGCTGAAGCATTATTCCAGAATTAAAAATAAGTAAAACAAGCCAGGTATGGTAGTTCACACCTCTAATCCTGGCACTTTGGGAGGCCAAGGTGGGAGGATCACTGAGGCCAGGAGTTCGAGACCAGCCTGAGCAAGAGCGAGATCCTGTCTCTATAAAAAATAGAACGATTAGCCAGACGTGGTGGTGTGTGCTTGTAGTCCTACCACTTTGGGAGGCTGAGGCAGGAGAATTGCTTGTGCCCAGGAGTTTGAGGTGCTATGAGTATGAGTGCTTTGACTGTGCACTGCACTCTAGCTCAGGAAAAAAAAAAGTGAAGATGGTAAATTGTGTTTTCTTTTTTTTACTACAAAATAATGTAAAGAGAATAGTATAACAGATCCACATGTGGGCAACTTCAGGAATTATCAACTTATAACTAGCCAATCTTATTTCATGTCTGTTCTCACCAACACACTGTCTCTGGATTAGTTTGGAGCAGTTGATAAAATTTTTGAGTTAGAGTTAAGGAGTGGACCCTTGACATAGCTGGAACTCACGGGAAAGCTAGTGACTAGTGTAAATCCAGAAGAAAAGTAGTGCTAGTAAGTAGAAAGATATAAAGCTTTTAAAAAGAAAATCTAGAAACAGAAAATATAGTATCTTTAGAATATTATTCTGGGGTTTTCAGGCTTCCAAGAGGCAGATTAAAAGAACGAAAATGAGATAGTTTTCTGAGACCAGATTTTGTTCTGAAATCAGGTTACTAAAGTAAGAGACAAGTGTGCATTTTTTTACTTTGATAATTAGAGAATGAAGAGCTTGCGAATCCTAAAAAAGTTCTCTGTGTTTCCTGTAATATTGATTGCAGGAGAGATAGTCCATGGCTGTGAGGTTTGTTTGTTTTATAATTAGCTACTTTTACCAAGAATAATTAACAGAGGGTTTGGAAAGAATTTTGGCTTTTCTTCCCTGTCATCAAAATAGAATTATTTAGAAAGGTTTGATTGTTGCATGTAAATGGAGGAGTATTTCTCACTTCCAAGTGACGGGAAGAACCATCAAGCACTTCTACAGTTTGACTTATACCTCGAAAGTGTCCTGTTCCTGTGAAGGGGCTGTGGTGGCCGACAGCCTGGTTCCTAGAACCATACCCGGGGTTATGAAGAGAGAACTTGGACACTTCTCTACTCTAAATCAGTTTGATTCTTGCTTCGGAGTCATTTTTGTCTTCCCAATTGTGAAATCTGCTTTTTGAAATCATCATCTCTCCACCACAACTCCAAACATCATCTTGGAAGTTCAGTATCAATGTAGGTGACCCTTTAAAGGTCTTCATCCATACTCCACCTCAGCTACTTACTCATAGCCATATCTTGAACCTCATGATCATCCAGAATAGTTCTACCTCCAAATTCTCAGGTTCTACTATCCTTATGATTAGGCCACAGCATGCCAAGTTTCCAGATCTTTTAGTCCTTTACTTTTACTCTCTCCATTCTCTGACCATATCCAGTTAGGGTGCCTTGACTATTCCTGGTTGTAAGGTGTGTGGCAAGTAATTTCATGTTCATTTATTCAGCAAATATTTATTGAACACCTGTCTGTCTTAGGCATATAGTGATAAAACTGATGTGGACCCTGCCATTATGAAACTTAGAGCTTCCTGAGTGGAGAAGACATTAACGAAGTGTGAAACAAATATGTAATTACCAATTATGATAAGTGCTATAAAGGAATTAACAGGACGCTGTAGAAGAAAATAATAAGAGGAGATCACTTTAGATTGAGTGATAAAAGAGGGCCTTTCTGAAATGATGTTAAAATGGAGACTTGAAGGATTAGAAGCCTTTTGTTATGCAGAAAGTTAAGGGAATAGTATTCTAGTTATAGGAACCTTCAAGGCAGTAATGAGCTGGATAAGTTAGAATAATTAAAAGAAGGCCAGTGTGGCTGGAATGCATGAAGAAGAGGAGAGATATAGCTTAAAAGGAGGTTGTGAAGTTGAGCAGAGACCAGCTGAATCAGGGCCTTATAAGTCATGTTAAAGAGTTTGATTTTATCGTAAGTGTTTTTGGAAATTAAAAGGTTTTAAGCTGGGGATTGATGTCTGTTTTATGTTTTTAAAAAGATGGTTTTTATTTCAATGTGCAGAATAGATTGAAATGGGCTAAAAGAAAAGTAGGACATAATTTAGAAGGGAAGATAGTGCTCAGAGCCAATGCTGGCTTGGGTTAAGATAGTGGCAGTGGAACAAGAAGTACGTAGATTTGAGAAATGCGTCTGAGTTAGGAGTACCGGGATTTGATGGTGGGATGTGGAAGAGAGAGGCGTTAGGAATGACTCACAGGTTTCCAGTATGAGCAAACTGATATGCTACCTCTCAAGCATGTGAGAAAAAATATTATTATTATTATTATTATTTTTTTTGAGACAGAGTCTCACTCTGTTGCCCTGAATAGAGTGCCATGGTGTCAGCCTAGCTCACAGCAACCTCAGACTCCTGGGCTCAAGTGATCCTCCTGCCTCAGCCTCCCGAGTAGCTGGGACTACAGGCATGCGCCACCACGCCTGGCTAATTTTTTCTATTTTTTTTAGTTACCCAGCTAATTTCTTTCTATTTTTAGTAGAGACAGGGTTTCACTCTTGCTGAGGCTGGTCTTGAACTCCTGAACTCAAGCCATCCTCCCTCCTTGGCCTCCCTGAGTGGTAGGATTACAGGCGTGAGCCACCACGCCCGGCCTGAATTATACTGTTTTGAATTGATCACCACTAATTTTTTCTATATATTTTTAGTTGTCCAGGCCATTTCTTTCTATTTTTAGTAGAGATGGGGTCTCACTCTTGCTCAGGCTGGTCTTGAAATCCTGAGCTCAAATGATCCTTCCGCCTCGGCCTCCCAGAGTGCTAGGATCACAGGCGTGAGCCACTGTGCCCGGCCTGCACTTCGCTTTCTAATGAAAACTTTTATTTATTTCTTCCTTTGTTTTATAGGAATATATTTGTCCCAGATGTGAATCGGGCTTTATTGAAGAAGTGACAGATGATTCCAGGTATCGTACAAACTCATGGATAAATCAGGTGTTGTGTTATCAAAACTTTTCCCTCAGCATGGAGTGAATTGGAAAGAATTCATTTTATAATATACTCTCTGGGGAGGGGAGGGAGAAGTGCAAGGGCACAAGAAGAATGGCACATGCAAGGGCAGAAGAATGGGAGAGAGATGGGAAAGAAAAACGGGAAAATTTGGAAAGTGATATGATAGTGGGTGTGATGAGATATACTGCTTCTGATTGTGTCTGGCCTCTGTACCAGACCTCTATGCCTATCTCAGAGTAAATCTGGTAAGTTTTCATTTATTTTCTGAGGCTTTGAGGTTCTCTTAGGTTATTAGTTTAGTGACCACTCTTGTCTGAAGGTTAAAATGCTGTTATACCTCTTTGGGGACTTAGGCGGTGATTTCCGACAAAGATATCTAATAAGGTAAACAGGCTGTTCTGGTTAGGGAAACTGAGTTGTTACTCTGCTTTGAGGAAGCCTCGGGTCCCTTGATTTTGTTAAGATTATTGCTGTCAAACTTATATGATCTTGCCATTGTAATATTAATATTTGAGTTTGTAATGCTTGAAATTTGTTCTTATTGGCCTTAGTAAAGGTATAAACCTGATAAAAAGGGAAGTATTTCTGAAAGTGATAATATTTATATATTCCTTTTTGGTTAACATGAATAAAACTATAAAATCTTAATAAATTATTGAATAGCATTGATAGGATGGCCTTGTTTGGTTAAACACAATGACACATTTGTTCCTTGGGGACTGTCTGGTTAATCATTGGTTGAACAATCGAGGAATTACCAGCTGGTTAAAAAGAATCTATGATCTGAAGCTTCTTAATCTTGGAGTGACTTTGGGGATTTTAATGGCAGTAGATAATTCCTTTACTGTTGCTGTTGGCAGAATCTAAACTTGAAGGTCCCTTCCACAACCAGGAAAAACTACACATTTTACAGTATGTACTATTAGTTTTACTTTACTAATTATTGGTGATTCTATGTGTAAATGAGCTGGAGCTTTTGGGGCAGTATGTGGCATGGGATCTAGTTTGGTGTAAACATTTAAATGTCAATTAAGAATCTTGGTTTTAAGTGACATAATACCAGCACTAAACCTGTAAGATTAGCATGACACAGCAAATAGCAATTTTGTGTGGATGGCTTGCCAACTTCAAGCTTTTTATTTGTGCTATTATAATTGCATCAAATACTTGTTTCAGGCACTTATGCTCTGCATGTGCTAAATAAAGGATATATTGGTTGTGGGGGAGCAATTAATGGG